GGAGTCTCACGGTCTCTCTTGCCCGGGCTGGCTTTGAACCGCGATCCTCAGATCTCAGCCTCCTGAGTAGCTAGGATTACAGGCGTGAGCCACCAGCGCCTGGCTAAAGCAATATATTTTCTTAATTGATAAAACAATCACAAGTTTGACATAAAAATTTTTATTAAATTTCATCTACCTTAAGTGAGGTAAGCCAAATTCAGAGAGACAACTGGCACAGGCGTTCTCTCACATGTGGAAGCTAGGCCATGATAACTCTAGCCATTCACACACAGGGAAACCAATGGAACACACTTTAGGTGAGGAACACAAAGGTGCAATACCACTGTGCTATGATCATATAAAATTATAGTTATCAAAATGAAATCCAGGAAATGGAAACAAAGACTTTTTTTCTTTTTCTTTTCTTGTCCTCTTTTGTTTGTTTTTCTGTCTCTGAGAGGGCAAGAAGGACACAAAAATGGGAAGAATATAGGGTGAACAAAGGCAGCAGTGGTACTCAGTAAAAAACTAGGTTGAAAATGAACTGTATAACGTGGGTAGAGATGAGAGGGGAAAACTGGGAGAGAATGAGGGAAGGGATGACACTGTCCAGAAAAAAACGTATTTCATGGGCTCGGAATGTGGTTTAGTGGAAAAGTGCTTGCCTAACATGCATGAAGCCCTGGGTTTAATTCCTCAATATCACATAAGCAGAAAAGGCTGGGAGTGGCACTGGAAGAAGCTCAGGGACAGTGTCCAAGCCCTGAGTTCAAGCTGTAGAACTGGCAAAAAAAAAAAAAAAAGAAAGAAATGTACTCATTACCTGACTTACGAAACCGTAATCTCCTCTATTTGTCACCTTTATAATAATAAAAAAAAAATTTTTTTAAGAGAAAAAAATTTTATCCATAGGAATTTACTACAAAGAAATCTGGATGTACAGGCAGGTGTGGTTACTCAGGAAGGAGGCTAAGATCTGAGGATCACAGTTCAAAGCCAGCTCAGGCAGAAAAGTCCCCATGAGACTCTAATCTTCACTTAATTACTCAAAAACCAGAAGTGGGCTGTAGCTCTAAGTGGTAGAGCACTAGCCTTGAACAAAAGAGCTCAGGGACAGCACCCAGACCCTGAGTTCAAGCCTCACAACCAACAACAAAAAAAAAACCCACCTGCCTAGCAAGCATAAAGCTCTCAGTTTAAACCCTGGTACTACACTCTCTTGTCCCCCCCAAAAACCTTTATACTAAAGATTTAATAAGAACAAATACAAACTCATTGCTCATAATCCTAAAATATTATCCTGAAATAAACTAATGAGGCTTTGCCTTCTAATATTTTTCTTCTGTCAGAGCCTTACCTTGATCCAGCAGCAATTTTAGTACCATCTCCATTAAAGATCACATGGTTTGCATTTGTAGTGAAGCGAGTCAATATGCCATCTGGAACTCCTTCAGGAAATGTGTGGACTTGAACAGTGTTGTTGGAAACTGCAGTGACCAACTTTCCATTCTAAAAGAAAATAAAAGTAAGAAACACTGGTGTAACAAACCCAATATGGTTGACAGTATCCCAGTGCCTATATACCGAAAACTCCTATAAGAAACAAAAAGCCAGGCTGGGAAGTTGGTTCAGTGGTGAGAGTACTTGCCTCGCAAGCATGAGGCTCTGGGTTTGATTCCTCAGCACCACATAAGCAGAGAAAAGCCAGAAGTTGTGCTGTGGCTCAAGTGGTAGGACACTAGCCTTGAGCTAAAGAGCTGAGGGACAGTGCCCAGGCCCAGAGTTCAGGCCCCATGACCAGGAAAAAAAAAAAAAAACATGCCAGGTGCTGGTGGCTGAGATCTGATGGTCGTGGTTCAAAGCCAGCTCAAGCAGGAAAGTCCATGAGATTCTTATCTCCAATAAACCACCAGAAAACTGGAAGTGGGGCTGTGGCTCAAGTGGTAGCACACTAGCCTTGAGCTAAAGAGCTGAGGGGCAGGGCCCAGGCCCAGAGTTCAAGCCCCACGACCAAACTCCCTCTCCCCCAAAAAAGAACCTATGCCAGAAATTTAAGTGATACAGCTAAAAGGTGAGGAATGCTGGAACTGTGAAAGAACCAGAACCTAGGAGACAGCATAAAACGGATTCTCCCTCAGAGCACAAGAGCCAATCCTTCCTCTCACATAGCTGAGATCACAGGTACACATCATCACCACTGGCTGGTTGACTGAGAGGAGATCTCAATGACTTCTGCCTGGCATGGTCTTGAACCCCATCTCTCCCATTTCCACATCCTGCATAGCTAAGACTACAGAAAATATCAGGGATTACATACATGATCGACCACACACAGCTCACTTTGCTCTCTCATAAAAAGTTTGTTGGGATGCAAAATGGTGGATTAGAAACATGCCATTTTTACTCTGAGAAGAATCTTGGGTCACAGAACAGTCTAGATTCTGAAGTGAGAAATGATGAATAAAAACTAAAAGGGAGGTAGCAAGGAGGCAGAAAATTACAAAAAGACTATATTAGCAGAAGAAAAGCAGTGAGGAGCTTCTGGGATTCCCTGGCACCCCCACACCTCCAGCTGACTGGACAAGGGGAAAAAGACTGCAATACAGATAAAACAGATTCTTCTGTGGACAGAGTGCCAACTCTGCCTCTGGGGGGAAAGCCCACACAACTCTCACACCTTAACCTTAAATGGTTTTGTGAGAGAATTACCACTAGTATGAAACAACAGCCTTGGTGAAGAAAGGCATTCTTTGGATCCACTTGTTTCAGAGCTCAACAGTGAGTTGCTGTCTCCAGAGAGCCTACACACCCATGTTTATTGCAGCACTGCTCACAACAACTAGTGGAATCAGCCAAGTTGCTAAGTAACAACTGGATAAAGATATGGTACCTATGTTCCTAGAATATTACCTAGACATAAAGAAAAATTAAATGTCAGTTGCAGAAAAATGGTTGGAACTGGAAAACATCATGGTGACAGAGACGACCCAAGCTTAAAAAGTCAAATATCCCTCATGTGTGAAACACACACACACACACACACACAAAGAGGACATAATTCTAACTGTGGAACTATTTTTAAGAGGATAAGGGAAAGGAAGGAATTATACTTTTAAGCAAATTCAAATGTTCTCCCTGTTCCTTTTGAGGGGAAAACTCAGTGGTTTTGGTTTTGTTTGTTTTTGTTTTTGGGTCCAGTCATGGGGCCTGAACTCTGGGCCTAGGCGCTGTCTCTCAGCTCTTCAGCTCAGGGCTAGCGCTCTACCACTTGAGCCACAGTGCCACTTCCGGCTTTCTTTTTTTTTTTTTGCTTATGTGGTGCTGAGGAATCAAACCCAGGGCCTCATGCATGCAAGGCAAGCATTCTACCACTGAGCCACCTTCCCAGCCCCCAAATTGAGACTTTTATGAGCAGAATTTTCTAGGCTGGCTTCAACAAGCTCAATTTTTACTTAAGTATTTTTTGGGGTAGGGGCTTGCATTTTTGCTTAAGAAATCCTGGACTGTGGTCTTCCTATTTATGTATAGCTGGCATGACAGGAGCACATCACTACACCTAGATATATTTGCTAAGATGAGGTTTCAAACTAACTTTTTGCTTAAGCTGGCCTCAAACCATAACCTTCCTAACCTCTACTTTTCAGTAACTAGAATTATAGGTATCAGCCACCACCCTAGGACTCTTGTGTATATGCTAGTTGGCTCAACACTTTTTTTTTTGGGGGGGGGGGTCGGGTGGGGGGTCTGAACTCTGGGCCTGGGCGCTGTCCCTCAGCTCTTCAGCTCAGGGCTAGCGCTCTACCACTTGAGCCACAGTGCCACTTCCGGCTTTCTTTTTTTTTTTTTGCTTATGTAGTGCTGAGGAATCGAACCCAAGGCCTCATGTATGCAAGGCAAGCGCTCTACTACTGAGCTACCTTTCCAGCCCCCTCAACACTTTTTATCACTATTTTATATTAAAGGGTTTTTTTTTGTGCAAGTTATAGTATTCTTATATATCTTTAATATTATTTCATAAGGGAAACAAAGCAAAAGAGCACATCTATATTTAAACTTTCCATGAAAGTATTTTCTCTCAAGCGTAAAATCACATCCTCCCACATCAATTGATGAAATTGTTTTTACTACCTTCAAAGCACATGAGTATGCCTTTTCTCCAACATTGATGGATTTAGGATCATCATCATCTAAGTCTTCCCAAATCCTCACATCACCGTCACTTCCACAAGTCACAATGCAACTGTGAAGAAAACACATACATTAAAAAGCCATCCAATTTCATGTATATTATCTTTCTTGGAGTGCTACCTTTATGTATTAAATAAAACCAAGGTATTAGGCAGCACTGTTTTCTCATTTTATACAAATAAATCTCAAAATGAAGACTGTTTTTCTTATTGAATAAAATGTAGATAAGTTTAATATTTTCTATAGTTCTATGACATAAAATTATTTCTTGGCAAAAATGTAAGAAACATAATTATGTAATCTCTCCAACAGCAAGAACCATGTCTATCATGCTCAGCACTATATCCAATGCACCAAGCAGTCTCTGACATAGAAACTTTAATAAATGTTTGCTGAATGAATAAATGATAGATGCATGAGCTCAACTATCCAAAGGTGATTGTTCAAATAAATACCTGTATCTGTCATAACTTGTTTAAACCCTCATCTTCTGAGTGCTTTGGTTCATTCAGTGTATCTGGCATATAAAAAATAATCCACCAAAAATATATTTATATTATATATAAATGTTAAAATTATATACTATATATGTTATAATTACATTATTGTATTTTATAAATTCTACAACAAATATATACAAATGTTTAAAAAAATGTTAATGTTATATGTTAATGTTAATAATATATACGCAATTGTATATATAATTATACACACATAAAAGGAAATAAAAATTGTAGATGTCCAGAAGAAAAAAAAATAATTTCCACCTAGAAAAATTAGAAGGATTCATAAAAAAGTAATACTTAAGAGTCTAATACAAGCCGGGCGCTGGTGGCTCACACCTGTAATCCTAGCTACTCAGGAGGCTGAGATCTGAGCATCGCGGTTCAAAGCCAGCCCGGGCAGGAGAGACCGTGAGACTCCTATCTCCAATAAACCACCAGAAAACCAGAAGTGGCGCTGCAGCTCAAGTGGTAGAGTGCTCGCCTTGAGCTGAAGAGCTGAGGGACAGCGCCCAGGCCCAGAGTTCAAGTCCAACGACCGACAAAAAAAAAAAAAAAAAGTGCTACAAAAACCATCAGTAGTGGTACACATCTATAACCCCTACAGTTAGGAATCAGAGGCAGGAAGATGATGAGTTCAAGGTCAGCCTTGAGCTGCATAGCACAATTTGAATTAAAAAAAGAAAAAAAATGCCATTTACACTGGGAAGTCAGAGAAAGACTAGATATGCTGAGACTAGTACAAGAGCAGTTCAAGCACGTGAACCAGAAACAAGAATTTAATGAAGAATAGGAACTTTAGCCAGGTGCCAGTGCACATACCTGTAATCCTAGCTACTTAGGAGGCTGAGATCTGAGGACCATAGTTCAAAGCCAGCCCAGGCAGGAAAAGTCCATGAGACTCTTATCTCTAGTTAATCACAGAAAAAGCCATAAGTTGGCCCTGTGACTCAAGTGGTAGAACGCTAGCCTTGAGTAAAAGGAGTTCAGGGACTGTGCCCAGACCCAGAATTCAAGCCCTAGGACTGGCAAAAAAAAAAAAAAAAAGAACAGGAATTTTACTCAGTGTAGACAATCCAGGAAATGAGAAGGGAAAGGAAGACTGGGGTCTTTAATACCAGATTCTCTACTATATGGATTAGACAGGAAGACCACAAGTCTCAGTTTGCACAAAATACTTCTGGATTTGGGCATCCAGCTGGTTTGGTCATTTGTGATTGTATTTTAAACTGCAACACACATTAGTAGCTGTTGCATTAAAAATGACTGGAATAAGTTTGACAGACCTCTTCTTTTCACTTCACCTTTTGCCATGACCTTGCTTAATAGTGCAACACACATGCAACAAATACAATCCTCACTTTAACATGGTTAATCTGAGAAATGGCTGGTGAAACCCTTTTTGCCAATCTTCCTTTTTTTGTTTTGGGGCCACCACACCCAGCTTATTGGCTGAGAGATGGGGTCTCACTAATAAGCTGTGGCTGATCTCCAAGAGTGATCTTCCCAAGCAGTTGGGGCTACAAGTATGAACTACTGTGACCTCCTATGTGCCAACACTTTCTTGAAGCAGCATAACAAAAAGAGGTTCAAAGCTGCAAGTGCCAACTGCTAAGGCCAATCAGTATCATAGTAGAACTAAATACGGGCAAAAGATTGAATTAAGGAGTTTGGTGTACTGCTCTTAGAGTAGTCTTAACATTCCTCTAGTATCAATTTTGTATTAATTACTTACTAATCTCATAGCTTGACTATGTTTTTCAAATCTTACACACACACAACTCCCAAACATTTCAATAGTGATGAATTAAACATATATATGTAGATAGATATGTACATACATTCATATATTAACTGCTCTTAGTTGCATTTAGTTCATAAGAGTAGAAAATCTTCAAACCAGTCAACATACAGACATAGGAAGCATAACTAATAATGCCAACACTTGGGAGGCTAAAGCAGAATTTCCAGTTTCAGGCCACCTTGAGCAACACAGCAAGACCTTGTCTCAAAAAACCAAAGAACAAACAACAAAAGGCATTCAACTTAAGCTCTTGAAGTTTTTCTTGAAATGCAGTTAATGAAAACCTAGCTCATACACAGAAAGACACCAAAATTTACCCCGACAAAACCAAGCAAGAATTAAACAGTACATAAAAACCTAAATGGTGAATGACTTAAGTCTGAAATTCTACACAATTGCACTTTGAAATGTTTTGACTAGTGGGAAGAATCTTGTGATTAAATTCCTATATTTAGTGGCATTAATTTGTGTTCTATGTCAAAATGAAATAGAGTAGGCTTAAAATCTGTGAAACATTCAAAGGAACCATAGAGAAAACTGAATACATTTTGTCTTTTAAAATATCAAAGATGCCAGGCACCAGTGGCTCACACCTATAATCCTAGCTACTCAGGAGGCTAAGATCTGAGGATCGGAGTTCAATCCAACCCAGAGCATAAAAGTTCATTAGACTCTTATCGCTGTGGCTCAAGTGGTAGAGCACTAGCCTTGAGCACAAAGAGGCTCAGCGACAACACCCAGGCCCTGAGTTGAAGCAAAAAAAAAAAAAAGAAGAAGAAGAAGAAAAGAGAAGTAAAAAGAAAAAGATGCCAGGTACCAGTGGCTCATGTCTATAATGCTAGCTACTCAGGAGGCTGAAATCCGAGGATCGTAGTTCAAAGCCATCTTGGGCAGGAAAGTCCATGAGGCTCTCTTCTCCAATTAACCACCAAAAACCTGGAAGTGGAGCTGTGGCTCAATTAGTAGAATGCAAAGCTCTGGGATACCTCCCAGGTCCCTGAGTTCAAGCTTCAGGACACAGACACACACACACACACACACACACACACACACACACACACGCTAAGACACAAGGCACTGATGGCTAACAGCTATAATTGTAGATACTCAGAAGGGAGACTGAAAGGATCACCGCTTGAGCAAAATGTTATTAAGACTTCTTCTCAACCAATAGTTGGGTTGTGGCAGAATGCATCTATTATCTTTTTTTTTTTTTTTTCAGTTGTGGAGCCTGAACTCTGGGCCTGGGTGCTGTCCCTGAGCTCTTCAGCTCAAGGCTAGTGCTCTATTACTTGAACCACTGCCCCACTTCTGGTTTTTGCTATGTGGTACTGAGGAATTGAACCCAGTACATGCAAGGCATGTACTGAGCCATCTTCCCAGCCCTGGAACGCATCTATTAGCCAAGCTATTTAGGAAATTGAGATTGGGAGAATCAAGGTTATAGGTTAGCTGTGCAACAAGTTCATAAGACTGCCATTTCAACAGATCCTCCTCTAACTTGATCTCTAAATATTCTGGAGTAACCCAGGGGCTAACCTTTGAATTTCTTTTTTTACCTACATTCACACTTTCTTTAGGTGCTCTCATCCAAGCTAACACATTGAATACCTTCTATATACAGACCACACCCACATTCAGGTTTCCATCCTGGACCTCAATGCTGAACTCAGAGGTATCAACTAAAAACGTACATAGTTCACATTTTAGATTCACTTATTCAACTGTTTTCTTTATAGCTCCAGTTGAATACCTCAAAAGAAACCAGATATCAGCCATTTCCAAATACAAACACTCCACCAGCAACTTTTCAAGTGGTGTTTCTAATACATGCAGTGTCATTTTTCTCAACTGTCCTATCCCACAATGTAGACTTTATCCCTGACACCTCTCTTCATCCTTAATACATGGATCATCCTATTGACTTCTCTTTTTAACTATTTCCTGAATAAGTGTTCTTTTCTCCCCACCCATATCCACTATAGTTCAAGTTCCTAGCACATTCACCTAAACAAATACAAACACCTAACAGTCTGCAACCATTCTTGCTCCTTTTCCAACTCATCCTTCATGCATCACATTTCCTTGCTTCAAACTTTCACTACTTTCCCACTGATTTCAGAATAAAAACAAAATTCCTTCTTAAAACCAACAGGTGGGCTGGGAAGGTGGCTCAGTGGTAGAGTGCTTGCCTTGCATACATGAGGCTCTGGGTCCAATTCCTCGGCACCACATAAGCAGAAAAAGCAGGAAGTGGCACCATGGTTCAAGTGGTAGAGCGCTAGCCTTGAGCTGAAGAGCTGAGGGACAGAGTCCAGGCCCAGAGTTCAGGCCCCACAATGAACAAACAAACAAACAAACAAACAAAGGCCACCAGGCACTGGTGGCTGACACCTGTAATCTTAGCTACTCAGGAGGCTGTGGATCAAAGCCAACCTGGACAGTAAATTCCATGAGATGTTTAGCTCCAACTAAGCACCAAAAGGAGCCAGAAGTAGACTAGTGGCTCAAGTGGCAGAGTGCTAGCCTTGAGCTTTTTAAAACTGAGGGACAGCCTCGAGACCCCTGTGCTCAAGCCTCAGGACTGGGAAAAACAAAAACAAAAACAGAAGGCCTAGCAAAGGGCTCACCTTACTTACTGTCACATACTCATCTCTCAGCAATCTCAGCATTACCCTACAATTATAGTACCAATAACTTTCAGTTCTTGAGGATACCATGGTGCCTGATGGAGTCACAGACCCTTTTAACCCAGTGTTTCCCCTACTTAGAACTCCAATATCACCACATTGACACACATACCCCCATCTCTTTATACTTCTCAATCCTATTCAACCTTCTAATCTCTCAAAAAACACTTCCTAAAAAACCTTCCCTACCACTTCAAAATATTTATCACTACACATATCATTTAGTACTTCTAAGTGCATTTCTATTTTTGTTCTCACTTTGTCATACCACTGATTGAAGCAAAACTACACAACAGGCCAGCACTACTTCATCCAAAAGCAGTGCTTCTACTCTACTCTTTCTTGACAGCTCATCCGCTATTAACAAAAGGACTACTGAATGCTTTTAAAAGGGGATTTAACTGTATTTCTGAATACACATTTATTTTTGTGATTAACTTGAATTGTCTATCAACCCCAAACACCTTTTAGCTCAATAAAGGAAAAGGTCATGAGTCGTTTGCACTATTGTATTTCTAACACCCAGGAGAGTAGACACACACACACACACACACACACACACACATCTCTTTGTCAATGAATCAGTCAACACAGGAGTGGCAGTGAAGTCACACAGTAGACAGTACGCCATGGGAAGGGATTTTAAAAGATCAATAACAAGAACATATCGCGGTTAAGGGACCACGCAAAAGAAAATCAATTAAAAAGAAAAGTCGGAACATTTAAGAAGGGGAAAAAGTATCACTAAAGCCAAGGGAAGCTATACCACACAGAACAACAGACCACTGGTTTGGGCAGGGATTATCTAGCAATCTGCCAGAATTAATGTGAAACGCTGAGAAAGTGAAAAACGGGCGGTGAGGGGAGCTCGCATCTTCCCAAGGAAGATTTCAACAGACTACAATTTCTGACATACTAAGTACATGACAGTCGGAGCCAAACAAACCTACCGAAACATTGGTGCAGTTTAGATCCCAGTATTATTCCTCTCTGCATTGAGTCATTTTCGACCGAAAATGAATCCTTGCCATATTAAAAAATGATAAATGAATAAATATGTGCACTAACAAAATCGTTCGTTTCCTCAAAGAGCCTTACCTCCCGGAATCATCAAAACAGACATCCGTGTGTCCTTCTGTATGTCCGTATCTCACCGGCTTCTGTGTGGCCGGCATCCTTTCCTCCCCCGACCTAAGAAGAGATCGAAGGAAAGCTCGTCTTACTTAGAAAACAGGAGAGCCAGGAGTCCCGGGGGTGGGGGGGCGGTGGGGGGGAGAAGCAGGGAAGGTCGAGCACCCCACAGGCAAGCTCTCCGCCGGACCGGTGTCCCCACCCGTATAGCACCTGCAGGACGCCCGGGAGAGACTGTCACAGGAGATACAGCGGGAGGGGCACGCGCTTTTCCTCCGCGCGGGCTGCGGGAACAAGGGAGGACGTCCGCAGCAATCCCCGAAGGCGCGCGTCCCGGACCCACAGAGCCGCCCAACGAGGTGCACGGCCACTACCCGCAGTTCCCGCGCTCTGGCGCGTCCGCCGCACTGCGCCTGCGCGGCCCGCCCACGCCGCGCGCAGGTCTCACCCCGGGTCGCGGGGTGGTGGCGTCAGCAGCGCGCCGGCTGGGAGGAAAAAAAAAAAAAAAAAAAAAGAGCCGGTTGCCGAGAGCGAGCGAGCGAGGGAAGAGGGGAGTCGGACGCGGAAGTTGTGGCGAGCCGGGGAAGCCGGCTGAGGCGGGCACCGCGGAAGTCAGACGCTGGAACTGATGAGGCCTGGGGGTTCGGAAGCGGCGGCCGGAGGACCCTCTGCCGGGGGGGAACTGCACGAGGGGCCGGAGGGGCCAAGCCTCTTTCTCCACTGGAGCGAACGCCCGGAGTGATGGCGATGGTGATGGCGGCAGCTCCCCGGACCGCCCCGGTGAAACTGCCCTCCGGGAGGTGAGCGGGGAAAGCGTGGCGCTGTCCGGCCTGGAGGACCCCACCGGGGGAGGGTCTTGCTGCTACCTTTCAGGCTGGCCTCCCAGCCAGCCTCATCCGGGTTCTTAAGCGGGTCCAGCCCCTCGGCCGCACGGTTAGAGACCGGATCTTCGGACATGGTTAGAGAAAAAGCCCGCCCGGAGTGGCATCCTTCCTGCCTTTCCCTCGTCATTTTTGTAGGATTCATTGCATGATTGTTTCTGCACTATCCAGATAGCCCTTGCGAGGACAGTGCCTTGTTTTGCCTATTCAGATCCCACCCAAAGTTCACTGACGTGGATCTGTAAATCTAAAAGAAACGGTTCGAGCTTTGTTGTTGAAGGCTTCATTTGATCCTTACGATCTGTGACCAGATCTTGGGCCTCGAGCTTAGGCTCCTGTGTCTTCACGTTCTACCCCGACGAGTCTTTGATGAAAACCTTCATACTGATATTCTTCCATTCGTGTTTATCTTTGAGGTTTTTTTTTTTCTCGGAGTTTTTTTTTTATGCTGCCTCCCAATTTCAGTCAGACTCGTTGTAATCAAGAGTCGTTCTTTCATTCTAGTTGCGTTGTAAGCGCATTCAATTTATGAATGAAAAGGAAGAGTGATTGGCTCAAGAACTTGGGATTTGTAGAATAGCCTACTGTTGATTTACCACCAGAACAAAGGTACCTGAGATGATCCTTTTAAAATGAGTACCTTAATTTTTATTTGGAGATCATTCAAGTTTGGAGTAGAGTGAGTTACAATTTTTTGTCCAGTATCATTTGGTAGAGTGTGGAGTTCAGAGAAATATAATATTCATATATTATATATAAATTAAATAAATGGTGAGATTTATTCAGAGCTCAACATAAAAAAATCTGCAAATTGAAACAGGAGTTGTGGCTGTAAATACTGTAGATGTGATGTCTATAAATTCTAGGAGACTTTAAAACTGTGAATGGTACACATGACCTTTCTTTCCACTTTAGCAATCAAGCATTTGACTCACAAGGTAAAGGAAACTTTGCTTTGGAGGATTCACATGTTGAATGAGCTTAAGCCCAGAGATTGGGGAGTCCTAGGTTTTCATTTAACTATTGACACATTGTATGCCCTTGAATATGCTGCTTTTCCTGAACGTGGAATTCCTCATCTCTTAGGTGGAGATGATACTTAGCGTCACCAAAATGCTAACACACAGAAAAAACTAGGACAATTGAGGTGATGGGTGGAGTTAGGAGGGATGGGGGAAAGTGATTGAAAGGGATGACATTATCAAGATGCTTTGTACTCATATACTGACATATTGAATGGTAACCTGTTGTACAACTATTTAAAGATAATGAAAACTTAATTTAAAAACAATACATAAGAGATATTCACGGATATATAAAATGAATTGTTAATAATGTCTCAAATTATAAATGGGAACGTTTACTGAGTTTACTTACAGTGGGGCTAAATCATCCAGTAAAATTTTCTAATATTAAGCAATAAATTCTTCCATTTGCAAATACAATATGTTTTTACAATTCAATTTGTTTCAAATGCCTACAAGTGGTAATGGCTTCATTGAGGTGAGATCCTGTTGAGGGAAATGGACATTCAAATAATATATACAAAGTGATAGTGCAGTAATGAAACCAGTGTAAATTAAGTACTGTATTGCAAAGTTACCTGGTTATTTAAGATGCTATATTTTTTTAAAAAGTAAAACCAATGTAGCTGTGTGACTATAAAATTTTCTGAAATCAATATATTTATCATTGTGTCATAGTTACTCATAGCTGAATGAACTAGTTGAAAACTAGGCTGAAAGAGAAGATTCAGTGAAGGTTAGTTGCTGTGTTGTGACCATATTAATATCCTCAGACTCACAAATACTAGAGTAAGGAAAAATACATACATTACCAGCCTATCAGTTATAATATTATCTATGTAAGTAATATCATAATGTATCAATCCTGCCTTAATGGATGGAGCTGTTTTTTGTTTTTGCTGCCTTTTCAATAAAATACATACTTGATGTAAAAAATAACTAATCCTGTGAAAGATGAGAGTGGAAGGAGAGAGTAGCTGAAAAGAATGAAGTATTGAAAAAGTAACATTGAAGTGGGTTCAAAATCTAAAGTTATTTTTGTTCCTGAATGTATTCTGAAACTTATTTATTTTGGAAGAAAACAATATTTGCCTTTTTGTAACTTAATAAGGTATAAAACAGTATAGCATTGGTCTGGGAATGTGGCTTAGTGGTAGAGTGCTTGCCTAGCATGCATGAAGCCCTGGGTTCGATTCCTCAGCACCACATACACAGAAAAAGCTGCTAGTGGTGCTGTGGCTCAAGTGGTAAAGCGCTAGCCTTGAGCACAAATAGCTCAGGGACAGTGCCCAGGCCCTGAGTTCAAGCCACAGGACTGGCAAAAAAAAAAAAAAAAGAGCATAGTAGTATAAATGATCAAATGGCATATAGCTTCTAGAAACATTATGAATCCTGACAAGCCTAGGTCATTTTCCTAATCAAAGTAGTCTACCACTTGCCTTTTGAAATCATAACTGTTACCTTAAGAGTCAGAATTTAATAGCACATATCATAAAAGCAATTTTCTTAGGAGAAGGGTACAAAATTGGGTCTCTTTGACTTCAAACTCATTATGTAGCCTTGGTTAGCTTCAAATTAGAGATCCTCTTGCCTCAGCCTTCCAAGTACTGGTTTGTGCCACCATAACCAGCTTCTAAAAAGGCAATTTTATTAAGATCTAGAGTCATTTACTAGTTTTTAGATGAAGCTTATTACTCAACCTTAAGTATAAGCATATGTAACTGTTAGAAATTAGTGAAAGGACAATCTATAGTCATTTTGCAACATTGCCTTTTTCTGTAATGTTATTTACTAAATTAGCTTGCAAGAAACTACAACTATTTTGTCATTAAGTGTAACCCTAGCTACTCAGGTGGCTAAAAGCAGAGGGATTACTTTTGAAGCCAGCCTTGGCAGGAAAGGTTAAGGTCCCCTGTCTCAAAAATAACCAGCAAAAAATAGGTTTGGAAGTGTGGATTGAGTGTAGAGCTTCTGTTAAGCAAGTTCAAGGCCCTGAGTTCAAACCCCAGGAATGTCGTAATAAATAAAGTGGTTCTTTTCATCCATGGTATTTTTCAGGGTTTTAAATTTTTAAAGAAACACACTTAAATATTTGTAGTAACATAAAATGCTTTATGCTGTTTCAGCGATGCTGGATCCTCTTGAACTTCAGATTTTCAAGGTATGTTTTTTTGTGTATGCAGATTTTCTAGCTTTAATCTACTCCTTTTTTCCCCCGTAATTTTGCCACTTTCCCACATATTTTTAGCAAAGTGTTGAGTATAATACTTCCATTAATTTCAGTTAATGTTTTCATTTTAATCCTGACAGAGTAAAAACATGATCCGATTTCTACAGTGAGAAAACTAAAGCTAGATGAATTATCATTTTTTTCTAGTATTAAGAGTCAACCAGGACCTCAAGCTCTACCACTGCCATCTCTCAAAATGGAATTTTTAAGAAGAGGTAACATACCTAGAGAGTAGTAGAGTTTGACAATTTAGTAACTCATACTATTTCATCTACATTGTTTTTTTTTAAATATAAGATAATGAAAACTAGCATAGGTTATTATAGGTTTTTAATTTTTTTTTCTTTAAATTAACTGATCTCATAAGACAAAGAGTTCAAGAATACAATGACGGTCTGGGAATATGGCTTAGTGGTAGAGTGTTTGCCTAGCATACATGAAGCCCTAAGTTTGATTCCTCAGTACCACATAAACAGAAAAAGTCAGAATTGGCTGTGGCTCAAGTAGTAGAGTGCTAGCCTTGAGCAAAAGAAGCCCAGGGACAGTGCCCAGGCCCTGAGTTCAAGCCCCAGTACTGGCAAAAAGAAGAAAAAAGGACAAAAAGAATATAATGACTAGGAAAATTGCTTGCCTTTGGATAATGGAATTATAGCTTTTCTTTTTCTCTTTCTCTTTTTTATTTCTTTTTTGAATTGTATTACCAGGCGTGGAAACCAGAGCCTCATGGGAACCAAGCAAATGTGCTACCACTAGGCTACATCCACATTCCCTTTCCCTTTCCCTTCCTGAATTTTTTCTCAACATTTCTCATAGCATTTAATGAAGATATACTTATGTTTGTCCTGGGGCTTAAACTTAGGACCTGGGTATTCCACCTGAGCAAAAAATTTTGCTCAAGCTAGCCACAGCTCCACTTCTGGCTTTTCTTTTTTTTGTGGTTAATTGGAGATAGGAGTCTCAGGGACTTTCCTTTCCTTTAAACTGTGATCCTCAGAGCTTAGCTTCCTAAGTAGCTAACATTTCAGGTATGAGCTGCTGGCACCCAGCAAAAATGTTTGCTTCAATTTATTTCATGAAATGTGTTAATGATATATCTTAGACATTCTGGTTCATCTTCCTTCCACTTTTAGAAATTCATGGATTGCCAGCTCTTAGTTTGCTGCTCTTTTCTTCAGATTAGTCTTCAGTGATAGATTTCTATACTTTTTTCCTTATCTCTAGCTCTGGGAATATACTTTCGTTTTAGTGTTTCCCAAAAAATAGAAAACTATCGTGTGAACATGTTTTTTGTTTGTTTTTGCTTTCTTTTAGAGGGAGTGGGGTTTTTTTGTTTTTTTTTTTTTAATTTTTGGGTCCGGTTGTGGGGCCTGAACTCTGGGCCTGGGTGCTGCCCCTCAGCTCTTCAGCTCAAGGCTAGCACTCTACCGCTTGAGCCACAGTGCCACTTTCGGCTTTTTTCTTTTTGCTTATGTGGTGCTGAGGAATCAAACCCAGGGCCTCAGGCATGCAAGGCAAGCACTCTACCACTGAGCCACCTTCCCAGCCCAAGAGGGAGTGGTTTTGAGGATGGAGAGGAGCTGGGCTGAAACTAATTGGGAGGGAGGTTAAGTCTTTTGGGTAAAGCAGCATGTAGGCAATATCTGTAAAAAGTTTTAGCCAGGCGC